TAACTTTAAGGAAGTACCGTAATATTATTATACCACTAATAATCAATCATGATAATAAATCAAAGAGGAGAAATGCACTATATAGTTAAGTAATCGGTAAAAAAATTAATAAATAAAATCCTTATCTTTTTGTTTTTATCGGTAAATTACATTGGCAGTTATAAACTTCTTTTATACTCCTTCATCCATAGGAAACTTTTTATTAGTGTCCGCGCGCGTGCAAAAGAAATAGCACTCTTGCAAAATCAGTTAGCCCCAAGTTAAGTCTTTTTCTCCATCTGTGTATCAATCTATAATTTTAAACTCCCGCTCCATTCACTGAAGAACACTGCAGAGTTCCCAATCCTTTATCATATTTATAACGTATACACTATGACGCATTTCATTCTTCAGAGCATCTCTTAAAATTCCACATCGCATGAATAGGAGGGAAGGTAATTTTGTGTTAAGAATATTTGTTCTGTATCATTCTTCCTTTGACATAACGCTAACATATCATAAAACAACACTTCGTATTAGCTTAAAAACAACAGTATCTTAACGTTTGCATTAATGAAAAGAGATATATTGTCCTTTAAAAATACATACGTCACAAAAATGTTATATCAATAATAAGTAAGACTTTAAAAGTGTCTGTTCTAAGAAAAGTGTATAAAATAGCCATCACTGATGACATAAACTTTCATTTTCTTTCTGATTAACGAAGCAGGAAAACGCGATTATAGATGATTTTTTGTCCTCAGCACTAACGAATATTTGAAGACCTTAATTCTTTTTTAAATTTTATTCTGGAACGAAAGTTGAGAGGTGGCCAAATGCAAATAAAAAGGGCTCATACATTTCGAAGTCGTTACCGTCGTTAAACTTTGACTGTCATTAATTACGAAATTAACGACTTTCCCTTGGTAAACATTTATTTTATTGTAAGTTAGGTACACTTTTCGTCATGAAAATGTCTCTAGATAGAGTTGGGTAGGGGAAAATGGTCAAGTCAAGAGCTCACGAAGTATAAAAATTTGTTAGTCGTTAAAAGTGCTAAAAATTTAAATAAATTTTCTATAATCGCGACATAATCATAAAAGAGATTATACATGAAATGCGCTAGTTATTAGTTAGTTAAATAATTGCATATTTTACGCAATGCTTAAAAAATCCAGTACTTCAGAAAATGCATGGAAATGGTTGCTAATTTTATCTAAATGCACTCAGCGGTCAATATACGGTCTAGGAATCATCGTCAAGCATTTAATCTACTAGAAGCGCTCACAGGAGGAGCACATTTTATGATAGCAGAAAAACAGCTTGCATATAGCAAGCTAATCGCAGCATACAGCGATAGTTGGAGTATGTAGTCTAAGAAATGCGTTTTCTTCAATCTGATAATGACCTCAAGTCTCACTATCTCGAACTGTTTTTAAGTAGAATTAAAGAAATAGAGTTTAAAATTTTGTTCTTAGTGATGTCAAATCATTTTTTTCCCTCTCCTCTAATAGAGTAAATAAGTATCATTAAGTATAATGCAGTCCATTCAAAATAAATAAAAGATGTATTATCATTGTGAAAAACTGAGCACCATCATCTGTCTGTGGACAAAAATTAACAGTCGTATTGTTTACATATTTCGCAGCTATAATAAGCTTTGACAATCAAAAATGCAGAAAAAAAAGGAAAGAAAAACTAAAGAACTATGGAACTATGGAAGTATGGAAACTAAAGAACATTTTTTTCCGAGGAGTTTTATCTCTTACCAATAAAAATCAGAAACGAGACAGGAAATCATTATGTTTTGAAAAGGCTGCAGGATCTTTCATTTGTCTTCCATATTATTAAAAAAAACATTGTTTATCAGCATTACGAAGTGAATCTTTAAAAAATAATCTATAATTCTTAATAACATTTGGGAATATTTTATGCCATCAGCGTGATAAATACTAAAGCATTTTGCATTCTGCAGCTCTTCAATTTTTAGCACACATCTCTATTTATTTTATGCCGCTATTAAGGTTTTTACTTTTTCTTCCAAAGCTTTCCTTAAAAAAGTGCAATAAAAGTCCTTAAAAAATTAAACAATGACTTTTTTTTTTCTTTTAAATGAATTAGGCTTCTCTGGAACGACTGGAAAGGAAACTTAGATAAATGAAAAATAATCTCGGAAAGCTTATAGCGCGAATCTCATTACTTACTAATCTTATCAATTCATATTTCTATTCGTTATACAAAAGATATTTCTCTATTTCCACAAGGAAAAGCCGTCATAATTTTCTTAATTAAATTAATTAAAAGTGCGCACTTAAAGATGGGTACTTATTCATTTCTGAGAGAATGCTGTTTTTCTTTCTTGTTAAGATATGTAAACGTAAAATATGCTGGAGATGAATTTTTTTCTCAGAAAGAATTCAAGAATTACTTCTAGCAGTTAGCAGACTTAATTAACGGATTCCAACGCAATTTTTCAACTTCATTTTCGTTTGCATTATTTAGGAAAACATCTGCTTTTCAGCAGTTTCTGCTTTGCCCAAAATTTTATCTAAATTGAATTTAAAACACAGATATGAAGCCGGTTTTTTTTTTTACTAATCTTCAAATTGACTTAACTTATGAACAAAGAAAATGCCAAAATATTTAATGACTGTCATAAATATATTAATTATAACACAGCAATTAGTTAAAAATAATTGAAAAAATGCATATCAAATTCAATCAAAAATTTTCCATCTTCGTCAAAAAGATTATTTATTCCACTTTTTCACTTTTTTCCCCAGACATATACTTGGTGTTACTATATGATTTTCCAAAACAGTTTTAGATTCTTATAACAAGAAGAATCATGTCTTTAAATAAAATTTTAATAAAAACTTTGTATATAAGGATTATGTTAATTTTATTAACAGTTAAATTTTAAGTTAAAGTTCCTTTCCTGTCAAATTCTTAATTCAACTTACTACTTGCGACTAGAACGTAGTTTTGGAATCTTGCTGAATATTTAATGAGGAGGAGCGATATTTAAACCACGAAGTTACTGAGGCAGAGAGAATCAGAGTGCTGATTTACGCGCGTCTGCATTTTTGGCCACTCTCTCTCTCAAAGCTCTTATTACGCTCGGCCGTACTAGGCCCTTGCTAAGCTTCGTAGTCAAATAAGTTAAGGGGCCAGCTCGATTTGAACCTTGATAGCTTCGGCTATACTTCTTTAGTTAATCTTAGTTTTAGTTTAATTCTTAGTCTTTTAAGTTCAAGTCCAAGCGCGGGCTATGCTTGTACACTCCCAGGCGGAGTTTTGTTAAATCTTATTGCAATAATAAAGGGTTAGTTACCCTTCTATCTTGTTGTTGCTTGTCACCGAACTCAAGCGATTATTCGTTTATCAGTTCTTAGATTCTTCACTTCTATTATTAACTTAGAATTCCAAAGTGAAGAACTATACAAAATATATAAAGACAGCTAACAGATGAAAGGCAGCATGTTTAAGAGTCTTTATAGGAGTAGCTTTTTCGACTAATCTTAAGAGCTGGTGAACGACAGTTCATAGCAATGATCACATATCATCGTGCATCTCAATTTGATTGCAACGGAAAATGTTAATGGAATTGTTTTACTTGATTTTATACAGTCAATTTTGTTTGTAATGATTTTAAATATCAAATAATGAGAAACAACTGAATTTTCTTCTCATAATTCGACTGTCGCTAAGTTCATTTCGAAAAAAAATGCATAACCATTCCTCTTAATTCCAAATAAAGCCCTATTTTCTGTTTGCTAAAATAAATTCTTCTTTTAAAAAGCACCATTTTGAAAAAGCTTCAGGAATTCGAAAAAACGTGACAGGTAAATCAAAAACTATTCCAACAATTGTTTCTATTATAAATGTAATCAGAAATTGTATAAAGTTAGAAAATTTATTACAATGTTAGAAACAATGTCAGAAAACGTTTAAAGTTAATTTCTACGAGCCTCTTTTATTTATGTATTTATTTTTATAAATTCAGTACTAAAACTTTGTTGAAGCATTTTATGTGCTTATTTATACTCCTAAATGAAACCCATACACTTTCATTAAAATCCGTAGTCTGTCATGTCAGTTATATTACAGTTTTCATGGATTCAGAAACTCATGAAATGTGCATATTGTAGAAATTCATTTATGACTAACTGGAAGGTATATAAATAAATCCGAATGATATCAACAGTAGACGGAAGCATTACTAATACTCAAATTAAATAATGAAAATTTTATCTTTTAAAATTATTAGGATGATTAATTTGAAATTAATTATTTATTTCAAAATTTAGATTCAAGATCTTTTGAGAATATTTTCATTGTATCTATTTACGTTTAAATAAGCTTGATAAGTAATAAACGCGTATCATTTTTCATTCACTGTATAATAATCTGTAAACATGCAACGTTCTTACAAACATGATTTACTTTATAAAAATTATAAAGGAAACATATATGAAGTGCCCTACGAAAAGTACTTAATTTCGTTGATAAGTCACTGAAACTCTTAAGATGAGTGTGTACTTTATTAAATGTAAGACCGCTTTTTTTCTCCTTTAACTGGCAAATGCACTATCTTTATCGAAAACGTTCTTATTACCGGTAAACTGCTTATTTTATTATTAACGGAATTATTTATCGCCACTAAATTATGATGACTGCATCCATTATCACATTATCTATCTTACATGTATTTATAAGTAACACTTCGTAATGTATTTATCACATGCTTTTCGATGAGTTATGACAGCAAAATAACTAATGACAAAGTAAAGAAATTTTTTATATCTTAATTTTACAAACATTCATTTTATCAATTTTATGGAAATAATGTTTTAAAAAGGTGCAAAACTCCTAAGAAATTACGATTTCGAAAACTTTACTCACTACTTAAACTAATTTTAAGTTTTGCTAACTTTAAATACTAACTGGTAGTCATTCAACTCATAATTTACCACGCATTTGTATTCATGAAAATTTACGTAAGAGAAATCTTCACATACCTGTATTAGAGTTGGCTTGGACTGATATGCACATGTCGTTGTCGATAGGAAATTTGTCACATCGTACCATGTCCGGCCAGGGAAAACCGTAGGCCCTCATTCGGCCCTCACAACCCTTCTGTACGGCCTCACATAGTGACCGGCAAGGATAGATAGGCCTGTCCAGGCACACTGGAGAGAAGAGAGAACACAGAAACAATTGCGTGTCCGAATGACATTTTAGATTGAACAGTGGCACCCATGAGGCAGATTGCTGGGATACTTCAGCCATGGTATCATGATCGAGCAAGTTGGGTAAACGCATCTTCGTGTACCCAATACCATGACAAAGGGTCAGATTCTCAGGTATGTCCACACATGAAGGCTGAGTTAGTCGACTGCTGATACCCCATTCAGAAATGTATTGATTGGGAACCAAATTCCCAGAGACACCGGCAATGATGGTAAACAAAATTATGTAGTACATGATGCACTTTGGAAATTAATTGGCTTGGTAAATTGCCAGAAGGAAGTAAGTGATCACACAAAGCGCAAAGTGACTTAAAATCAGATGCTATTCCTGCGGACGCAAGTTGGATTCAGAAGTCCAGAGAAAATAGGTTATTCACAATTATATCAAAGTTTCTAGTATAAGGGTTTCATAAATGAATTATGAAAAGTTCGAAGTTTTTCAAGTAACACAGTACGAAAAAAATCTTGAATTCTCAAAATTTTTACTGAATAAAAATGAGTTTTTATTTAACACAGGCTACGAATCTGATATATACGAAGTAATTTTGGGGGGTTATTTATTTATTTATTTTAAGTTTTCTGTTACGGCTATTTCTCAATATTATTTAACGCAGATCGTGTAAGGAAGTAATTTTTAACCAAGTCACTTCTGTACTGAAATCTAAATCCAGAATCTATGAAATTATAAAAACAGAATTATTCGCAGTTTAAATTTGGAAAGAGATTACACTGAATAAAATCTTAATTTTATTTTACGAAGAAATCAGTCAAATCAGCACAGTGCCATATGACAGAAGAGACTTGCAAGTCACTGAGAATATGTCAAAACCCATTTAAATCCGTCCGGACAGATTGAGCTTTTCCACGTGCTCCGACAACTCTGGTTATTCCGTGGTGGATGTCGGTGCGCACAATTCGAATCTCAACTTCCTTCTGACGGCTACGCCGGATCACGGTGATGCTTCTTTCGACCCGCGAGTCACGTGGGCGCGAGATCGGGGACGCTCCAATGGAGTGCGGGGTTCGACAGGTGGAATCAGTCGCAGCGCCATCTCTCGAGGGAGTTCGTAGACAGCACACTGACCCATGTGGACCCCCAGGCGTTTAGAAATTCTGGGAATATTTTGGACTCGTTGGCCGATAGGCAAAGTGAGATAACAGACAGGCTGCTGCTGTATTCACACCTTGCAGAAATGTGTCCTTGAGACGCGGAATTGTTGATAAAGATGTAGAGAAGAGAGAGTTTTTTTTTTTTTTTTTTTTTTTCGCTGGACAGGAAATAGCGTCAAAATATTCATTGCATGCGATACCGATCATACTGGAATGTTTTCAGCGGAACGTAAAAGAAGACTGCAGTGAACAACTAGAGCATATTATTCTAGAGAGAAATAAACGATTCTTATGTATTGGATACATTAATGAAATTGATCTAATTTAGCAAATCTTGCGCTAGAAATATCGACTGAAGAATTAAATTTTTTGTATACACTATCACATATTTTCATCATATACTGGTTTATTAATAAGATTACTTTATTTGAGGAACCATGGTTATTTTATTTTTGTATAACCGGTAAATTTATTTGTTATAAGTTATATATATTTACTTCTTTTTAATAATATTCTGCATTATTATTTGCAAATTTCAATTTTCTTATTATATTATAATCATTTGATTACATACTGCTGTATGTTGTCTGGTTTCATGTGCAGTAATCATATATTTCTACAAAATTCTTAAGCTTGAAATATAAATAATATATGTGTAAGATAAAAGTACGTAAATCAAATTATAATTTAAACTAACGATAGCCTCTTAATTCCCCCCCTCTCTAAAAATACTACTGCCTTTTTTTTACACTGCGTAACGCTGATGACGTAACTAATGCGGAACCTAAACCGAAAGTTTGACGTAATTAATCCGAACTTAAAATTTCGAGTGCAGATTTTACTTCTAGTTCTCTTACCGTTAAGATGCTACCTTGCTAGCTGACGCGTCGCTTAGCCTCTGCTACCTATTGTCCATAGTTTTAAGAATATAATCTGTATAAAAATGTAGTGCACATAGCTAACCCACAGTGATGATGTGCAATGAAAAAAATATGTGTCCGAAGAATTAACTATAAAAGAATGCAATTATATGTGAAATTTACGGCTACGTCTGACTTCGAGGGTCATCTTTCTAACTACGCAGTAAAGCCTCTCCAAATTGTTTACAACGCAAAGAACGATTGCCAGTCCGTTGCAGCTTTCTCCAACTCATCCTATTATAGAATTTATACTTTAAAATTTTAAAAAGCTTTAAAAAATAAAAAATAGGAAGTATAAATATCATAAGATGAAAAAGGAATTACAAGGAAAGGTATGCAGATTTCAATTTAATACTTGCAATAATTTTATGATAAGCAGTTACGTTAGGTCTAGTTCAAGAAATATTATAGTTCTCCAAAAATTAAAGAATTAAAACGTAAAATCAAAATATTTGCTTTGAAAATAGTAAATTCAGATGGTAAAGAAAATGTTGATGTTATTTTATTGTAAATCAATGCCACATGAAACTTTGCGCTCTTATTTAATGAAGAAATATGAATTTGATGGAAAAAAAACCCTTTTATTGAAGTGTTTCCACATAATGGTTGTAATAAATACTTCTTTTAAGCAGCAATGCTCTCTATTTTACCGTCAGACATATCTAAGAAAACGAAATAATTAACACTACGAGAAGATTTAAATTCTAATAATTAGAATTATAACAAACTACGTTCTTAGAATAAAATACTTTTAATTAGCTATTTCTGCAATACATCAAATGTAAGATACTGATTATTCTAAGATTCATGTAATGAATACTATAATGTAATTCTTGCTTAATTGCTGTTTCCTACTATTCTTTTAGCTCATATAAGTTTTTAACCCATTATGCATAACAACAACTTTTGGACGTTCCCCGTTCCGCGAACCAAGTCACACTACTGGTCCACCCCTCTTTGGGGCACGTCGTGGAGGTTCAACCTCTACTATTACCCCTCCTAGGGGTAGCGCACCACCTGGAAATATGATCTCCAGGTAGCACTGGTCGTCAATTGCTACCTGCCAGTCGCATGGGCGAGCCCGTCGCAGAAGGCCGTTACCCAGCAAACCGGGGGGATAACACCCCCGGCTACGGATACAACCGCTCAGAACCTGCCAGACCCCGAGGCCGGCCAATAAGTGACCTTTCCCAGGGCCTTCAGAACCACCAAGTTCATAAATTTTATACCCCCGTGGCCGAGACTGCCTAGGTACAGATCCTAGCCAGTAGCTTAGCAGAGTTCTCTACATCGACCCACCCGGGGGGCATTACGCATAAGAAATAACTGAACTTAAAAACTAATAGTATAATTTATAGTATTGTGAAATTACCATCTTCGATTCATCATTTGAAGAAGCCTACGGCATATAGTCAATGATGATGGTTTTTTTTCTTTCCAGTTGAAAATATTTTGCTCAGTAAATTGTCAATTATCGATGTAGATTGAATGATAGTTTGGCATTTGGTAATACTTGACGATTAATGATAATTTGACACAGTTAATACTCAGATAAAGATTTTTCTATCCTCTCTTTACAAAAGTGTTCTTTGTGCTATGAAGATCATTATTAAAAATATTTTAAGATGATATGAAAATATAGCGATACGAAATAGGCTAGTAATATTAACTAGAGATTTTTATATTGTTTAAGAATAATAATTACAAGGGAAATGTTACCTTATTACTTTACTTAAAAATAATAATATAACAAGTACTTTCCCAATAAAGACTTGCATTAATTTTCTTCTTTATTAAAGATTTAAGATAGGAAATAATTAAAATTAGGCAAAAAAAAGAAGCAACCCCTTCGATCGGTGCATATTTCGAAAAACTGTATCAACTTCAATGGCAAGCAGACATAGGTCCTGAAGCTTCAGGGGGAAAATAATGCACAGTTGATTTTTGAGATTAAAGTCCCCCCTTTTCTTTTCAGGAGCAAAAATTGCTTTATCTTTGAAAGAAAACATAATATCTGATCGTCCTCGGAATCGATAAAATTTTATTCAAATTCTATTCCAATATATGATCACTTTTTGCCCTAAGTTTTGTATTGGTATGATTTTCTTTCAAATAGAATTGACAGTAAGCAATAAAAATATGTATTTTTTTAATGACACCATTTTATTGTTTTTGTTTGGTAAATGAAAAGACAAATAGACTTTTATTTATGAAATTATATACAGTGGAAACCCTCATCGCAAAGTCTTCTCTCAGACGATCAATCTGAAGATAACCAATATTTCTGAAAACATCGGTTTTGATTCTCACCTCTATATGACCACAGAAGATTAAAATCATCTAAAATTGTGGGCGGTTGTCTTAGAGAGGATAATCTGTTACTTGATTATTTTGCCTTTTCAAAATTTGATTTAAAATGATTTTCATCATGTACCTCGCAAGTGTTCCTATCACAGGTACAGGTAGTCCACCACCACACGAAACAAGATACCAGCATATAATAAATCAAACAAGGAGGGAGGAAGCGGAATTTATATTTCGCATATAACTTTTTATCTTAGTAAAATATATATGACATTTCCATAACTTTTTATCTTAGTAATATATATATATATATATATATATACGACATGTAATATTATATGACATTTCCTTTAGATATATCGACAATATCAACTAACGAAAGCTTTTAAATCTGAAAACTAAATTTTGTTATTTGTAATTTAGTTTGTAAATTACAAGTTGAAACAAAATCAAAATTTTATTTTTTTGAGAGTTAGGTAATTATGTTGCTAAATTTCAGGAAATTTAAAGAACTTGAAGTCGTTAGAAAGTTTAAAATACTCAGTGCGAAACATGTAACCTGTTGCACAGTTAAGCGGTAAACCTTTCTTGTGGGTTTGGTACTTCAAACGGATCTTGTTTTGCCCTTCGATTTCTTTTGTCGGCGAATAAATACTTGAATCTCATGATCTACGAGCGCGCCTTGTTGCGTCTTCTATCAATTGTATTTTTCTTCTTTGCTGATAGTAAGAGTGTATCTCGTTGAAGGCGCAAAGGTCACTAACAAAAGAAAACTTTGCTGAATTATATGAAATAATAAAAAGGGTGCATCAGCAATTTTTTATGATTGCCCCCTCCCCGAATGCGCGCATGCGTAGTGACAAATGAATAACATAGTTTTTCTCTCTTGTTATACAACAATCATTATTTTTTTTACGATTACGATCATCGACAGCATGCTAAAATCACGAATCTGCATTTTTTGGTATTTTAAATTACATGAATACTTTAAATCTTTTTTCTATGTTTTATACTAAATTAAATCAAATAGATGTATGAAAGAATGTTGTCTGAAAGTCAAAATTACATTTTTCATAAAATTCAGCACGCTTAAAAATTTAGAAAACTCATAGCTTTGGTATGATGAAGACTTTAATCACTTTCAATACTATTTTGTCTGATTTATTTTAATAACAATCACTAAAGGTGCATAGTGCCTTTGGCATTTTATGTGCTAAAATTAAAATGTATAAAATTATTATCTATCGAATAAACTTAAACTAATGCCTAACTCATGGTCAAAAGAAAAAAGAAATACCTAATCTCATGGTTAAGAACAAATCTATATAAATAAAGAAGAGTGTCCGTGTGTTGGTCTTTCACACAAACCTATAGTTTTATTCCAGTCTTGATGAAATTTGGCACATTTGACCTTGAAAACAAGAGGAAGGTCATAGTTTATAAACAAAACCCAACCCACGTTGTCCACACTCTTTTCATGCATGCATTTTATGTTCATTTAACGACCTTTTGATTAAAAACTCCAAAAAAGATTTAAAAGCTTTCTTTTGCCACTCCGCAAAGAGTGAGATATTTATATTTCTAACTAGAAAGCCCGGCGGTCATGCGAAATTACTGCTGTTCTAGATATTATATATTGCAATTAAAATGA